CCCCCCGGGGGGGGGGGGGGGGTGGGGGGGGAAGGAGGTCTGTCCTTCACTCGTTAATCACACTTTGGTTCGCTCTGAAACAGGTCCAATGTCTCTCTGGTCTCGATGCTAACTCGACTCGGCCCTAACAACATTCAATTCAATCATCACCCGCCATGATCTCCGCCGGGGGGGAGGTCTGTCCTTCACTCGTTAATCCCACTTAGATTTGCGGCAAGCCCGACGATTCGCTCCCGTGGAATTCGATTACGATCCATCGCTCTCCGGTGGCGGATGCGGAACCCGAACTCGAGCATGCGGAATCGCTGGACGAAGCGGCACGGCCCACGAGGCGGAAGCTGACGCAGAACGAAGGGGGGGAGTAGTCTCTACGGCCATGGAATCTCTGATCTCTCCAGCGGGCGAAGAAAAGGTAAATATCTTGCTTCCTTCGGTTCCTTTCTTGATCGCTCGACTTGTGAACTGCGTCGGATCGGCTTTGCTCGTATCTTTTCGATTGGATTATACCACAAGCTTTTCGGGTGTGGTGGTTGTCGGTCTTGGACTTGTTGTATCTTTCTGATAGAAAAGATCGAGTTTTTTGCCATTGCAAGTTTCGATGTGCTAGAAAATGTAGTCATGCGAATTTATGTACCTTATGAAATGATTTCTGGGAGAATAATTGATTCTTCTCGCCCTGTAGGTTTCGAAGCACATATCTTCTTGTGGGTTGCTGCGATGACGAAGAAACAGGAAGAAGACTGCCATGATTGGGAACCGAGGGTTATGAACCGCAAGTACCGTATCTTGCTCTTTCTTTTTCATTTCTTACAAGCTTTCCCCTTATTCCATCCATGAAGCTTTCCTACTGCTGTTCTTAGAATTTGAAATGCTCTCTGAAGAATCGTGTGCCTCTTTTGATTGTTAAAATTTAATCACCCCCCAAAATAACCTAATTTTCAGTTGGCTTGATGTGCTGTAAGTAGAAGCTGATCAGCAATCACGCATACTAAATTTGAACTTTGCGTATGAGTCAACAATAGACTGTGCTATGTTTCAGCTGGGAATTACCTTTTGTCATGCCTCCAAGGTTATATGCATGTTTATTGGAATTTGTGTATTGAAAGTGATGTTGATTGTACATGTTTAGATTGGGTTAATCAGGTAGGTGGCGAGGTATGTCCATATCTACAGGGATGCATATGGACTAAAGGCCTATATACAAATTTTATATGCACACATATAGTTTTGGTAAGCATCACAAAACCTCACATCTATATGTATAGCAAGTGAGCAAAATAGGTCTTCCATTTTCATATCAGCCACCTCCAGTTTTAATAAGATGGATGCATGTTGAAGCTCTAGAATTTCTATTATTTGTAATAATTCCATACATTATCGGCGTCATTATTGCTGATTCATTTGCTATAGTTTAATATCTACTACATTTGAGAGAGTACTTCTTGAGGTTTATTCATTATTGCTAATATCTATAATGAATAATTTGTATTTCTTTCTTCCTTCAAATGTCAAAATCTTAGCAATTACAACGAGAAATTGTTCTAACATTCACTTACCAAGCAACTGCTACTTAATGTTCTAACAAAAAACATGAAGGTATATATACGCCCTCTTATTATATTTCTCTTACTCATAATTTGTCGAATGTGGTGCTTTAAATCTTTCTGTTGATCCCAAATCTTGTCACGGTTCCTTGTTATGAGACCTACTTGATTGTTCCAAATGTTTTGGAGGACACCAATGTCGGTAGAAACCAAACCTTTCATTGAAATTCATATACACACCATCTTAATTAACCTCAGAATGCCAACTCCTGAAAGAAATAAAATTTCGTGTAACTTGGGTTAGAGCTGAAAACTAATGCTTAGCAATCTAGTAGTTTTCTACTAAACTCAGAGGAATAACTTAATTGATCCGAGATACTTGGGTTAAGAAGTAGACCAGCCAATCCACAGTTACAAGTGCTTCTTTTCATGTCCCCAAAGTGGTTGAGACATATTGGATTTGAGAGAGAGGCAGTGGCTTTGCTTGAGACTCCTTGACTTCAAGGTTTGTAGGTAAGCTAACATTGGGCTTTATCAGTTTGTTATATTAATTGCCTTGTGTTTGTTCACCAACCATGAGAATGGGTGATGAATATTTTGTGCTGTCTGCCTGCTTTTTGACCAGGTTCTGTTTTTACCTAACTGAAATCTACATATTATATATATATATATATATATAGTCATCTACCTGATGTGAAGCACAAGTGCAACACCTATACTTATCCACCTGCCTTCATTGTGATACTGACACTACACCATCCAGAAGGAGAAAAAAAATTATCTGAGGTGGAGCAACAATCCTTTTTGACATCTTTTTTCTTGGAGTTTTTAGGCTTCAGAACAGAGTTAGGATACATTTGACTTCTGCTAACTCCTGTTGCCTTTGTCATTGCCTGATCACCGGTCCAAGCTCTTAATATTTGCATGTTCTACATATGGAAGAGACCAGCGACCATAGGATGATGTAACTTCCATGTGTTTGAAGAGGAATATGAATTAGTTCAACTCTTCTGAGTTCATGATACACATTGTTTCCTTTTGATTGTCATCCATTTTGTTTGTTTTTACTGGAAAATTCGTACTAAACCCATGTAATCCACCTCTGAATATTCTTTACCAACTCCATAAACTCATGTTTTCTTGTTCGCTTACCTTTAACAGGATTGACCGCCATCACGCCGAGCTATCTCTTTGCACTGTTGCAAATCAATGGCAACAACATGGAACTTGACAGAGTCAGTAAAGCACCTCTGCAGAAAGCGATATGAACCACATCTCATGGATGACAAGGTCAGTGCAGTTTGGTACCTGCTCCTCCACATCAGTAGGTGCTAACAACATGATTCGTATTGTTCAAAGCTTGCACAATCTTTTTCTTTGTTTAGGTGCCTGCTGAAATCATTCAAACCTGCAATTCACCTTCTTCCTGAATCACTATACCTACTGCTGCCCTTGTGGATGCTGTGATTCCAGTCCACCATTTATCGTATCTAATTTTCTATTAGTTTTGCCTAAAAGAAACCCAAATAGTTGCTTCACAGAATTCTCCATGAACATTGTTTACTTACAGAGTGATTGAATGTCGAAGGCAGGAATGGAGGGAACAAAACACAGCCGGAGGAGCCAACAATTGCTTCTTTCCCATCAGCTGTTGTGCGGTGGTGCGTAAACTTTTTGTTACGCGTTTTAGAGAAAAGAAAAGAAATGGGTGTGTTCAGACACCATCCATGCTGCCCAAGCCCTGGTCGACCTCCACGTGGAGAGTAGCCTGAACCGCCACGTCAGACTCGATGACGACCGTGTTCCCCGACACGTTCCTCAACGCGTGGCTCGGAAACGCCGAGTCAGCCAACAGCGTGTACTGCACGTGCCCGATGCGCCCAGGAAACAGGAGCACCGGCGAGAAGTCCACCGTCCATGTCGTCCCGTTGCCCTCCACCGTCGCCCTCGCCGCCGTCGACCGCGCCGTCATGCCGTTCACGCTGTTTCGCCGCACGGTCACCTGATCAACGTTGACGAACTTCCCGTTGGATTCGTCCAAGCGGACGATGTCGACGCCTTTGCCGCCGCCGGAGAACATGTTGTCGACGATGTCGACGCCCTTGACCACGCCCTTGACCGACTTGAGCACCACGTTGGCGTCGCCCAGAAAGAAGGAGCCGGAGACGTGCAGCTGGACGGGATCCTCGGAGACGATGCCGGTGTAGTCCAAGTAGCAGTTGGTGATTCGGGTCTGGGTTAGTCCGGGAAGCTTCAAGTAGATCCCCGTCCCGCCCCACCCGGCCGCCTTGTTGTAGCAATGCACTCCGGTCAGGGTGTTGGCCTGGCCGGAGACGAGGATGCCGATGGCCGCTGAGAAAATGACGACGTCGGTGACCGCATTGTCGTTTCCCGCCAGGTTGATTCCGGTGCCGGTGAAGTTCTTCTCTCCGGGATCGTTCCCGGCGGTGATGTGCTGACCTATGAAGGAGTTCCTGATGAAGGTCTCGTGCCCGGACCGGACGGAGACGCCGTCGGATGTGAAATGGACAATGTAGCAGTTGTCGATGCTGGTCCGGAGAGAGTTGACGACGGCGACGCCGCCGCCTCTGTAGTTGGAGTCCAGCATCAGGTCCCTCAGCGTGACGTACTCGTAGTCGTAGCCGGAAGAGCTGGCTCCACCACCGGCGGTGGAGTCATGCGCGGCCCAAAGCTCGATCAGATACCGATCCGCCGGGAAGTCGTCGGCCGCCCGCAGGCTTCCCCCGTGAATCTGTTCGTCCATCCATACTCGACTCAGCATTATTCTTCTTCTTCTTCAGTAGCACTTCTCATCCTCAACATAATTGAAACGTACCTTCACATTGCCGCCGTTGGCTGGTAAGGTTAAGGGAGAAGTGACCACGTACACGCCACCATCAAGGTGTACCTCCACACCACCAAGGTTGGAGATTCCGGCGATCAGCGAAAGCCCGGAGGCGGCGTCGGCGAAGGCGTCGGAGATGGCCTTCGAGATTGCCGCGAAGGAATCGGCAACTCCCTTCGGATCGGCGCCGTAGTCGATCACATGGTATACACGCGAACCGGACTTCGCCTGCGAGATCTGCGCCATTCATAGAGCATATCTGTAAACGATCAATCGCGAGCTCCGATGAACAAGATAAGGAAACGATCTGTGGGGAAGAGAGAGCCGACAAATCCATGGATTAAGTTGTGTGCAAGAAACAAGATGTTGGGAACAGCCCACCGAGTTAGGGCCGAGGCTTCCGAGAACAGGGTTCACAATGAAACGGGTTTCCGACATTGGATTCACCAAAAGCCCGAACCTGAAAGAGAAAGGAAGGGAGAAGAAAACAGTGACTCACAGACGGAGCATCGGCGGCGGACGACGGAGCAATGAGGGTCTCCAAGCGGCGGGCCATGCGGTCCCGGTGGCTGCGTTCTCCGCCACCGGATAACCCGAGCGGAGCGGCGGCGATGACAAGGCTAACGATCATCAACACACAGCAGCTCAGCTGAGCTCCTCCTCTGGCCACCATCGTTATCAGCTATGATCTCCTCAGACCTACCTTCTCTCCACTCTTTCTCGTCCCCTGTGTGCCTTGAAACGAGAGGAGAGGAGAAGAGGAAGGGTGGTGAGGAGCCTCTCCCTCTACCTCTTTATACGAGGAACTCTTCCGGAAGAAGCAAGAGTGCATGGGAGTCTTACAAACCGTGCATTGGATGGGAAGCGGACGGGTGGAGATGTGCACATCTGAGCGAAGAGAAGAACATGAGCAGGCGTGGACGCATGTGATACGTTCTAAAGATGTCTAAGGTGGGCATAGAAAAGTTGCTTTGGTGCTGTGGTATTCCAACCCTTCTTTCTACCCCCCTTCTTACTTTTCTTTCAGTCTTCCCATCTTTGTGCTTTCTGGTCATCTAAACTTGGGATCCTTGTGCTGATCAAAGAGTGAAGAAGCAGACAAGAAACCTCACAGGTTCTGTGGGATTTCCTTCTGGAAAAAGCTCAGCTGGTATACTCCATCACTTTATCTTTTTGTCTCTGATACCAAGCTTCAACTTGATGGCTTTGCACCATAGTGGATGGATCAATTGGGTCCTTCTAATGTACAGAATATTGTAAATCAATAGCTTTGCATTCTGGAGCATCTTTTTCTCTCCTGTTCTCTTTTCTTTTTGTTGTTCTTTTGGACATGGATTGGGGCTCCAAAAGCTGAAAAGTAGCAGAATATTATTCTCCCACAAATGAGACTTTGAGCCTCTAAAACCAATAGCACATTCATCCAAGTTTTTTTATTGGAACAAATTGATGGGTTTTGGTACACATGACACCTCCCTGCTGCTTAATCTTTGACTTTGGCTGGTCTGTGTGATGTTTAATATCAACAAAGCTTTTTTACACCTTAAAGAACTGCTTGCTATATTTTCCAGAAAACGATGCATCATTTGCCTACAAAGAACTTTCATATTTTATCAGGCAAAAGATAGATCTCATGTTTCCTCTTATTGAGGAAAAGGTTGGTAGAAGAGCTCTGTTAGCTCATCTTTCCAAATCCCAACCTGACCTTTTCTAACTGCATTTAGGTCCCCCTATGATGCCTGTCTAAGCTCATCCTACCTCACTGATGCATTTCCTATATAAGCCCTATGAACAATGCAACCTCCTGTCATATCCTTTAATAATCAAGTGCTAATTTCATTGATTCAAAGGTCATTTGGCCTCAAACTTCTGAGGTGATGTGGATGCATAAGAAGCCAAAGAAATGGACATCACCTGGTGGTAGCAGCATGATAATGACCAGATGGTGGAGTATGCAAGCAAGGTTGGTGGAGGAAGTTGTTGGTAATTTTGGTGGCCTTCTTTCAACTGTCCCTCCCAATGAATATAAAATGGCATTCTGAGCTCAATGTTGGCCTTGAGAAGGACCCTCATATCTTACCTGTCCATGCCATGAAGAAATCAAATAAGAAGAATTTATTACAGAAAATAAGCCAAGAGTGTTCCTTGTGATACCTCATCCTTTAAGGAGGGATGTTGTGCCTCTCACTAGATTCAGTACCATGTCATTTATTTCCAATAAATTGTCAGTAGGAATGGTTCATATGGTGGTGTAAGGATGGCTAGGCAGAAAGGATGAGAGATTAGGTAGATAAAGATAGGAAATAAATCACTGCTTGGAAAAAGAGCACATTAGCTGAACAACACAAACCCTTCCACTAAGGCAAAAAAAGTCTTAAAGAGAGACCCATCATGAGGAATAAAGCAACTTGTTATGAACTATTCTTCATGAAAAAATAGAGAGCATCGAATAAGATGTCAAGCAACACAGCTGTCAGTCAAAAACATCAGAGGCATGAACATGGATGTTGTCATTACAATTTGCACAAAGGTTTTGAGGTACACAAGTACTACCAATATCACATGGCCATGTTACTGTCCTAAGTTATTGCAATGCCAAACCAAAATGTTACAGGCAACATCATGTTCACAGTTTGTCTTTCTCTAGGTAATCCACTCCATCTGGGCGCCACTTGCATTAAATTTCTCAAGGAATTTGACCTAATGGAAGAAAAAGAAGTCATATACTACTGCATGATCTTACACAAACTTTCACTTGCAGTGCGAATGTAAATTAAGTTTGAGAAGCATATCTGACTTGGACATGAATCCTTATTCTGCTTTCTCCCGAGTTTGGGCATTGTCATCAGTTGTCACAGCTGCTGGTTGGTTAATGCTAGCTTTAGCTTCTGCTAAGAATGCAGGATCAGGCTGGTGCTCCATATTGCTGCCAGGCTCCTTTATCGCCATGATTATGTATAGCACAATCACCAGATTCACTGATATAACAGCAAGAAATCCACTAACAAGTGTTTGAGATGAAGATGAAAGCTTACTTGTACCTGCTCATCGAGAATAATATTAGATTGTGTTTGATTAGGGCGATAGAGATGGTGATCAACAAAGAGTATTGCACACATCAAAAGAATGGGGCAAGAAAAAAAAACACAATTTCTTTTTCTTATCTCCATTGGTGGAACTGTCTGATCTGTAGTCAACTATTCATAAAAAAAAGCTAATCCACAAGTAGTCACGTCCATAAAATGAAATATAATCTTATGAGATTAGAAAAGTCAATAATAAAAAAGAGAAGCCCTTCTTTTTGGCACATATGCTGCAGAGTAGCCATGGAATTCACCAAAGCTGAAAACTAGTGAAAAGCATATTAAAACCACATGCATGAAGGCATTTAAACAACACAGAGATATGTTATCTCCTTTTATTCAACTTGCAAACAATTTGCACTATACTCTTGTATTCTACATCTAAAATTCCAATAACATCTTTGATAGTATACAACACCAAGGCAAAGAACATAAAGTTCTTCACTACTACTTTGCCAACGAGATCTAAAATAGAACTTACCAACACTTGATCACTATTAATTCTCTTTAACCAACATTTAGCTTCAAACTAGCATCTCAATCTATCTCATCCACTAAATCTAGAATCTGTTAATCAATTGTTCATATACCTTCTATAACAAAGACAACTCGTTCTTAGATTCAAATGACAGCTACTATAGATACTATTATTTGACGATTCTGAGTGACTGCGACTGGAGAAAAGGAATGGGATTTCTGAATCAAACAGAACTGATCCAAAGTGTCTTGTGCTCTTATGCAAAGAATATATTATTGATGCAAGCTTTCTTTTTCTCCTAAGCTGCAAAATTCTGGTCCATGTAAAGTTTCCTAGCCTATAGCAAAAGAGCACAGTTCTGGTCCATGTAAAGCATAGTTTCTTATGATCTTTAGTCTAGACATCATATTAGAGCATGATAAGCAACACAAAATAATGTCATAATGAAACAATTATTACAATGGAGCTTGAAGACATGCTTAAGTATACAGCTCAAACATCATTCTCAACTTGGAGATTGCCAGTATAAAACGCTGGTAACCAACAATTGCAGATTATGATAAAGAATGCTAGAATGCAACTTACTGTACCAGGAAATATGTGATTGTTAAACCCATATAATATAGCTACTGGAGCTATCCACATGACCATCGATGCAATAAAGAACTTCTTGATCACCCTTGACATTGCCTCTACTATTCTGCAACTTCATAAAAATAAATTAAAGAAGCCTCATTTTACTGCAGCATCATGCGAAATTGCAATCATCAATGATATTTACATTAAACAGGAATACTGTTGTCATTCATTCACATTAAATTAAAGAAGCCTCATATTAAACAGGAATATTGACGTCATTCATTTACATCAAATTAGTAGAAATCTGAATATTTCAGTTATCAAAGCTATGTATATAAAACCTAGTTTTATCAGCATCTAGACGAACTCTCAGTCCAAAAACATTGAGCATGCAGAACTAAATTACAACTTAAGTAGAGCGCCCACTGGTTTTTGAATGTTGCCATAATGGCTGTAAGTCCATGTCATTAATGCGATTATACCATTACAGCAATGTTTTATGTGCTACAAGGGTTGGTCTAGGCGATGGCAACTTGCCACCATGTAGAGTGCGGCCACAGTTGGTACTACTCTGCCTAATGGGAACACCAAGAAGAATCAGTTGAGGCACACGAAGGTACCCAAACCCACTGGAAGAGACAACTCTGCCAGTTGATCCATAATTATCATGTAATTTTATAGAATTGCTGAACCATTTGTCTTCCAACAATCATGCGCACAACGCTTCACGGCCATAAAGATCTTAGTCACTACCAACTGAACCCCCCACCCTCTTCACCTCCCCCTGCACAAACCCTAGGAGACGGCAGACCATCATCCACGCAGCGCAAGCAAACAAAGAAGACTCGACAGGAATTGCCACTGGTGAAGAACCTTACCACGCTGAAGAATCAAGGAGATCAAGAGACAGATAAATCTCGTAAGCGAAGAGCAACAGCAGCAAAAAGGATTCCCCTATGGTCCCTCTCTTCTCCTCACAACCGTGTCCTCTCTGTTACATCCGCCCATGACCGCATATAAAAAAGCTCGTCAGCATCGGATTCGGATGTCACGAATCTCAAAGCCGTAACTCTCTCTTCCCTTTTCGAAGTTCCCTTGAATCGCCAGTCTCCGAAATATCCGGCGGCCGATCGAAGAGGATGGAATGAATTGTCAACCCTATTGTATCGGCAAGGGCGGCGGCGATGGGAAAAAGACGGCGAGACCAAGAGTTCGACGATGGGAAAAATCCTCGGTCAGCAGCAGAAGCCTTCAAGCGCCACAAGAAGCTCTGCACCGCGAAGACCAAGTAAACCCCCCCCCTCTACGCCAATTTCAAGATCGGTTCCATACCCAAGGCTTGTCTTTCTAACTGACGGGAGATCGTTGGTTTAGGCCCCTGATGTGTGGATGCGTGCTTGTATGATTGTTTGACATTGGGGAAAAGTCATGTTCCGGTGTTTGCTTTTTGTAGTTTTCTCGGCCTCCCTCATCTGATCGGGGTTTTGCTGCAGCCATCGACTTAAAGATCTTTGGGCAGTCGAGGCTGAGAGGGAGCCAATGCTTAATATGAAGACCACGGACTGGAAACCACGCCCCAGAAGCTGCCTCCACCTCGTCCGATGAGTGCCGCTGAGCCCCACCGCCTCGGTGGCTCAGGCCACCACGCCATATGTTGTGGATAATTGTAGAAATGATGACTATATAGCAAAGAGAACTCCATGAAACAACATCAGTTCATATTTTCAACATTTAGGTCAAATTGTAGATGATGAGTATATGATGAAGAGAACTCAAAGAAACAACATGATGGATCAGACAGAATATTTAGTTTCACAACAGAAGGGATTCACAAAGCTGACTCGGTTATACGAAATATCTTTGCAAACAGTAATATGATTCGACAAACATGTACACAAATGGTAATTAAGACTCTTGCAAAATACTGGATGGGTGTACTACCAAGAAATGCTACGTATCCAGGAGCACAAAAATAATATACAGCAAGCAAAGATCAAAACTAATTCCAGGTTTGCAATATAGCTGCCTGCATACACAAAATCCAGACCATTTAATCATTTTGAATTTTCTTTCCCTCTCTTAACATTGGTTAAAGACACATGAAAAAGGATCTCTTTCAGTAAATCAATTAGAACAATAAATATAATTAATATAGGGACCTGGTCACGGGCAAGGATTTGGATATCTTGCATGAACCTTGTTGATCTCTGCAGTCATTTCTGATGAAAGATGGACATTACAAGCTTCGACCACCTCCCTAAGTTGCCAAACTTTTGTTGCACCAAAAACGGCACTTGCCACAAGAGGGTGAATCAACACAAATGCTGCAAAGGAGGAGCACATGAATCTTGGACAATAGAACACAATTTATAACCAACAGTCAGGAACTGACAAACGACGGAACCAATATCTGATAATATTAGAAAGCATATGCCAAATCGGAAACAACACATAGGTAACAATAATGACGGAGTTCTACATCATAAAATTCCAGAAGATGAATGCATTTAAGCAATTTAACTTCTTAGTGGCACATAGAATCAACTGACAATGTTCGCTATTGGGGTCAGATGGTGGTTCCTGGAACATCATACTCAAAAGATAACATCTGAATAAGCCATACACAGCTTAAGTCTATGGTGACAAAAAAATCATCCCAGAATGTTGCATGAGTGGGAATTATAGAGTTTTGCACCTACATCGAGTAAACAAGATTAAGAACCATACCTATTGCAAGAGATGCAGGAGAGAGACCAAATTTTCTGGCAATATTTATGTAATCCTGCAATAAGTATACCAATCAAACCAAGAGCAGGTCAAGGATACTCGCATAGGTAACTTGGCTAAGTTTCTAGATAGCTGTAGGATTTGCAAACCCATCTGTGCACAATATACTTTATTCACATATCAAATTGTATTAAGAGGATGACTTATTTTATATATAATCTAGTCAATAAAACTATACAATTAAGGAAAACAGCATTTTTCACTATTATCTTTATGTGTCCAAAATTTTCTTGAGTATTCAGATTTTCAGGTGCATTCTTCATGAAAAGACATAAACTAAACCTGCCTACCTCAACAGCTGCTTTCAAGGTTACATTTGAGAGGTTGTATCTGGATTCACCTTCAGAGTACCTTCCTAGGAAGGAGGAAAAAAGGGGGCAAAATCAAAAGGAAAGAAATGGATGCAGGATAATGTTAGCTTTTAGGATATGAAATGGCTTTAACCTTGAAAAAGATTCATTCTCGCATCTGATGGGCCTCCTCCTGCTGAAAAGTACTTCCCTGAAAGTATGCCCATCGCCATTGGACTGTAAGCTAACAAGCTAATGCTGTAAAGTTTCCATTGATATGATATAAGAATACAGCGGTAACCAACATATAAAACTGACAAAAGAAAGAAATAATTATATTAAGAAGAACACAACAGAGACTGAATTTCATTTCTAACAATGCTGAACCCAAATAACATATGAAATAGCATATGCATGTTTTATTGATGGCACAATCATGATATTGAGAATAAACTGTATATGCCTACTTCAAACAAGAAACAATAGTTAGTTAAACCAAGGTTCGCAATACCATACCGTACCGATGTTTCGACCTGGGCTCGGTACCGGTATGGTACGGTATACCGAGCGGTACACCCAGGTGTACCGAGCGGTATACGCAGGTGTGCCGAGTACTGTAGCTCTGCTACAGTGCTACAGTGCACTCGGACCGGTAGCGAGCGGTCCGCGTACCGACAACCTGTCGGACGGGTACATACCGCCCGTACCGGGCGGTACAGTTCAGTACTGCAGACCATGAGTTAAACCTCTCTTGACACCAAGATTCTGCTAGTCTATTAGGCCTGATCTTTCACTATCTTCAATGATTCTGAATTTTTTGGGCCTCCTGCTTGCTTAGGGCCTTCACAAGAGAAAATCATCTCAAGAACAAATAGCAAGAGCATAGTCAACTAGAACTTTGAGCATTAGTATCAACTCTGATCCTTACTGTTTTAAGTGCAAAGATATAACAAGTAACACTTGAGTACTAAGTTGTACTTGTATGCTCGATCTATGAATTTTCTCATGTCTGTGCTATTGCACATCATCCTTTTTTTTATTTATTTTTGGCTGTACATGGGATTCCATGTGCTAAACATTTGAGCAATGCTACTCATATGATTGTACTTATCAGTCAAGTAAGATCACCAAGTTGTCTTCTATGTTAATGACACAACCAAGGTAATAAAGGTAAGGAGTTTCTTTTTTCTTGAAGCAAAAACAAACTGATTACAGTATTCTATAATGGTTTAATATGACATTCAGAAGCTGTTGAAATTAGCCGGGGTTCAAAATTGTCTCTTTGAAAGATCAATTGCTGCAGTTACTGCTCGAATTCTGAGTTCAAGATATGAAGAAAAGCCTTTATGTTATTAAGAAAAGCATAGTACAACAAGACATGAGTGAGACTAGCTTAGAAATGAAACTAAATAAGACCACACAGCCATCATACTTCCAAAAGGAAACAGATATGGACATGAATACAAGGGCAACACTAAATTAACATGAGAAAGTATCACCTCTCATGATGGCAGCACTCAGCTAATCCACAATCAAAATTTCGACAGAGCAAGTTATAGGAGTTCTGGCAGGAAAGTTAGCGATTGTCATAAATCATAAAAGGGTACACATATTTCATGTCTCAGGTTAAAGTTGTTACCTGCACAGTGATTATCTTAGGGCTGGACTGAATGTAATTAGAAATATGAAGAAACTTCATCACACCATATGGTGTTTCATTACTGAGCCCAATGTACCTGATCTGCAAGCAGGAGAATGTAAATCAAATGCTTACTATTAAAACAATCTGATAACCATTGCTAAAACATCACACTAAAGGAATACCTTGCCAGAATCAACAGCTTTTCCAAGAGCATCAAGCTGCTCCTCTATAGCTACAGACCCATACTGTTGACGTGGATCATAATCAGTTTCTCCAAACATTGGAACATAACTGAAAATGGCTCAGAGAAAAGATAGCAATTAGAAGTTAAGCTAAAATTGGAATTATCAGCAATGTATTTCAAAAATGTTTAATTTACTGAGTAATATATAGGCATATACCGGTCAGGCCAATGTATCTGGTAAAGGTCGATGTAGTCTGTGCTGAGTCTCAACAAGCTGTATTAAGTGAAAAGGCATGAATAAGAAAAGTAATCACCAAACAACAAACAACAATATATCATGTTCTAAAGCCAACCTTAACTGCTTGATATAAGCAATTCTGATCATCATTTCATTGGAAGTCTAATTTCTGTATCTGCACTATGAATGATTTGCTTGCAGACAAAACATGCTAGGAGAAAGTGCATCTACAAGTTCATACATGTAATAAAATTACATGTTCTATATTACCTCTTATTGCTCCACCTTACCTAGACTACTCCAGGAAAAATTCCATATGAAAAGAGATTTGACTAATCCATTTCATTCATATGTTTAGCTGACTCATCGAAGTTCAAATTTTAATTATCTTAACTGAATGCTCAAAAGTTTGCCTCTTAATTCTCTACAGCCAAAGCAGATGTTTAATCTAAGAAATTTGAAGTGTTTGTTAGTTGCTTACTGATGGTTGATATGGGTAGAGCGTTCATCTTTTGCTCCAATCTTACCAGTCCTTTTGTTATATGTGTGTGTGTGTGTGTGTGTGATGCACAATGAGTATGTGATCTTAAACTACAACTTCGATTTTTCATGGCCAGACAAGAACAAGTTTAATTAATAAAAAATGGACAACATACAGAGCTACGTTTGATATGTAAAATTTAAACTACAGAAGAATCGAAGATTGAGGCACAATAACAAGCCTCAATCGGTTAGCTACGAAAGGACCTCATGCAGGGCCCAGCTACACAATCTAGGCCATGCCAGTAGGGGCCACTTGTCTAGACAAGGCTGGTTTAGGATCCACCTTAAATATTACAATAGTCTCATCTGCATAACCTATCAATCCTTCGAAATTCCCAAAATCAGGTAACTTCCCTATTGTGGGAATATGGTCATTCTGATTTTGTCAATCAAAATAGCAATTAAATCACATTTTTCACTCTCCAGGTGAGGTAATTGCACACTGAAAGAAGTGATACAAAGAACCTGTCATTGATAGCCTCTAAAATGTTATTAGCATCCAATGATTTAGGTCCCCCACGTATCCAAGTCATCTGACCAGAAGGTCCTGTCACCTGCAAGTTGAGTAGTTTGAATTGTCTGAAGAATCAAATAGTATAGGACGTCCAACCAAACTATAGTATGCACTCCTGATAGAACAGATTATTAGGACTGATTTAGTAATTTAAATGTCTCAAAGGGTCAAGTAATAAGAAGACCAGAATTTGGTCACATAAATGTGTCAGATTGTGAGATAATGGTTATTAACCGACAAAAACGAAGAGGACAATAGAAGCAAGATTGTCAAGCAGTGTACCACATCAAAGAATCTGGATATGAATCGGCACCAGTTCCTGGTACTCAAACTTATATAAGATATACGAATTACGGAAGGTAATGTGTGATATCAGAGAGAATAGTCTTCTAGATATAGATCTACTTAAATGGCTGTGTACGTTTATGATGTTAAGCTAGTTCCTAGTGACCAAAGGTGAGGCATAGATGTCCATTTCCAAGAGATGAACTGTCCAACAAGTTCAGCTGAGGAAAAAATATATACCCATTGAACAATAACAACAAGCCCTTCTATTACTATGAAGTCATCCAACCAAATGCTGCTCATGGCCAAACCATTTTGTCATTCAGCAAAATGATGTCCATGGCCAATTCAGATATTTCACATCACAACTTAGATTACTCTTGTCGAGATTTGCTTGCTAAAGCTAGGAACCATAGACAATCCCTGACCTCCGTGTCTTTGCAACGTTTATAAAATGTCATGTTGTCATCAAAGAGCTTTCAGCTTTAATGAACAATAGTTCCAGAATTCGAACTCCTAGATGGGTGTAGAAGGCCAGATGCCAAGAACAAGATTTAGAATTTTCACCCTATAAAGAAAAAGAAAAAAGAAGCTAAAGCATAATGATGCCAGTGACACGAGCACAGACACAAAGAACGGACCTTGGTGGCAAGAACAATGCGGTCGCGTGGTACATTCCGCGCGCGCATCCAACGACCAATGTACTCCTCGCTCCTCCCCTGGGTCTCTCTGCGCTGCGGCACCGGATACCTTCTTCCAGAAAGAGAAGTCAGCACAGACGCAGATACCCTAATCAAGAAGAGGGGCTTTGGTTGGATCGCAGCATACGGCATAAAGGGAGGCGATTGCTTACATCTCGGCGCTGTCGAGAAAGTTGATGCCGGCTTCGAAGGCCGCGTCGAGAAGACGGAAGGACTGCGGCACCGTGTTCTGCTCCCCAAGCGTCATGGTTCCTAGAGCGACTTGGAATCAGAAACGGGCTAAAAAGGTAACCGAAGAGGGGAGGGAGGGAGAGAGAGAGAGAGAGAGAGAGAGAGGACCGAAGCAGAGCCTGGAGACGCTGAGATCAGGCGCAAGTAGGAACATGGGAACGGCCATTCCTCCCGAAGTCCCTCTTCTACCTATGCCGCCGTGCTCTTCTTGAGCCTTATGCGATGACAACACTTCCGGTAGCATTTTTTCCATATAAAAGAAACGTTATCCCAAATAACATGTTTTAACTATTAAAAACACTTGCTTTTTATTATATGCGAAGAATAGTCTAGAGTTTTCCAGCTGTCACGCTAACAAGTTGACGTCCGTTAAAAGAACTTTTCTTAGTTGCGGATAACGCCCCTTGTCGGATCTTAACCCGTTAAGTCTCGATGTTATAAACGACCGTACGAACAAATCTTGAAATCTTAGAAAAAACCAAACAATAAATGGCAACAGATAACATCCGCCGGCGAAACATTTGCATTAGCTAACCAAAAGCCTGATGGGTTCTTGGAGACAGAGCCGAGCAAACATTATACTACAAAGCCGGACAAAACAAGCGGGATATACGAGGACTATAAACCCTAGAACTCCTGCGAAGCGGACCCGATATCGCCCTTCCCCTTGCCGCCGGTCTGCTTCTTCGGGAGCAGGACCTGGTGGATGTTGGGCACCACTCCACCGTTGGATATGGTTACGGCGCCCAGGAGCCGGCTCAGTTCCTCGTCATTCCGCACCGCCAGTTGTATGTGCCTCGGGATGATCCGGTTCTTCTTGTTGTCCCTGGCCGCGTTCCCCGCCAACTCTAGAACCTGCAAACCCAAGATAATCCTCGCCAAGCTTAGATCAAAAGGCTAAATCCTGTAATCCCACAAGGGGAAGAGGGGGTCGACTTGCCTCGGCAGCAAGATACTCGAGGACAGCGGAGAGATAGACGGGGGCGCCGGCACCAACGCGCTCAGCATAGCGCCCGGCTTTGAGGAAGCGCGCGATCCGGCCGACGGGGAACTGGAGTCCGGCCTTCTGAGAGCGGGAGACGCTCTTCGAGGCCTTTGGCTTGCCCCGACCTCCCTTCGTGGTAGTCGCCGCCGCTGCCGCACCCGACGAACTCATGTCTTCGACGGTCTCCTTAGCCTTGCCTCTGAACAGGTGAAAGATGGATGACCGAAGGCAGAGTTTAGGATCCGTGGGCGCGGTCTTTTATAGAAAAGACAAGTCGTCCGATGTTATTGGTGAGAGTTCCCGACTCGCGGATCGCCATCGTGTCGGTACTTTGGAGCGTCCGATGGACCGGTTGCATCAGACATCGGACGGATATTATTTAACAGCACCATTCTAGTATGTTCACGACCCCGCGGTTCCCGCCCTTTTACATGCCACGTCGGTTGACGCCATTTGCGATCACGGAAGCTCTCAACCGTTGGATACGAAATGCAAGGTGAGACGGTGCTGCTTTGAGATCAACGAACTTGCGTGCCTCCAAATGAGCACTTAGAAGACTGTTGAGTCTTTTTTTCGTTATCATTTGATCAGTTTAACCTAAGTCATGCAAGAACGTAAGACTAATTACATTTCCTCCTTATAATTAAATATTTTTAATATTATTTTTATATTTTAAAAACTACATTAAAATCTTTATATTTATGACAATAAAATATTTAAAAAAATTATATAAAATTAAAAACTAATTTTATAGATTTAAAATTTAAAAAAAATATATTAAAACGATAAAATTAAATATTTTATTTTTATAAATATAAAATTTTCAATATAATTTTAAAATATACCGATCAAAATACTAAATATGGGACTAATTGTATTTGATCAGTTTAATTTAAGTCATGCAAGAACGTGGGACTAATTACATATTCCTCCTTATAATTAATTATTTTTTATATTTAATTTTTTATCTTTTTAAAAATTAAATTATGATTTTTATATTTATGAAAATAAAATATTAAAAAAATAAAAATACAAATACAAATAATTTTATAGAATTAAAAATTAAAAAAACATATTAAAAAGATAAAATTAAATATTTTATTTTTATAAATATAAAAATCTCGACATAATTTTTAAAGTATAAAAATCAAAACACTAAATAATAACTAATTAAAAAATATATAATTAATTTGATAACATATCAATTTGGTTTAAGAAGCTCCGCGGACCCTCTTAGTTTCTGAACGCACTGCAGTACATGAACCATAAAGAATAATCTAAGTTAGAAATAAGAATTAGGAACTTTTAAAAGATTAAAAGCCATACATATAATAAATTTTGACGAAAATGAGATTAATAGGATGATTTGCATGATAAGAAAAACTATATTCCAACAATAACATTTCTGAAAATTTTAGGGGGCTTCGCCCTAAACATGCTAATTCTAGCTAAGAATAAGCTAACAATTACAGAATGCTAGGGAATAAATTGTTTTCAAAGAAGAAAATTAGTCATTCAAACAAAATCTGGGCTCATCAAACAGCCGGTAGGTACGACAACCACCATAACAATTAATTGGGATACACTCAATGGTAGGTTGGTGCTGCAAATTCAGGATTATACTTCCATTAGTTCTTGCCACATACAATACAGTACAAGAACCAACACATTGTGACAGATGCAACCATGCACATTTATCGGGTGACTGCATCACAGGTCTCATATTATAATATACAGATGGTTGGCCAATATTAGTATCTTTGAGAAAAAGAATCATTGGATGCAGCATGAGAGTTATAATAAATCATCTTGGAATAGAAGTACAATTATAAGTAAAAAAAACAAATCAGAGAATTTAATGATGCTAATCTAATACTTTGTTAAAATTTCTGCTCCCTTCTGGGTTATCAGTATGGTATGCTCGAATTGAGCAGCAAGGCTGCCATCAGCTGTCACCGTAGTCCAATTGTCGCCCCATGTTATGCACTCAATGCTTCCCATTGTGAGAATAGGCTCTGTGGAAATGATAAGCAGTTAGCAACAAGGAAGAAAAACATTAGCTGATTATTGATCAAGGATTACAATACCAAATGATATCGCTCATACCGGATGGTACATACCAATCCACTAGTAGACCGGTACACAGACCACTCGCTACCGAGCGGTACCATTGATCTAGCCTTGTATCGGATAATACAAGGTTGTATCAGGCAATAATAGTCGATATTTCGACCGTTACCGTCCGAAATAGGTCAGTAACGATCGATTTCGATCGTCACCGCCTGCTACCGAGCGATATCAGCCTTGCTGGGACGAGGGAAGAAGAAGCGTCGATGGAGAAGAGGGAGAAGAAACGGGAGAATCAAGAGAACCTCGACGCTTCCCGATTCGACGCCACTCTCCCTCAACGATCCCGATCCATGAGGTAACAAAGTGACAACGATTCGGCTTCTTCTTCACCATGTTAGTCGCCATAGTGTCACGGACAAACTTCGAAACAGGGTGTTTGATGTAATGCTTATATATGTCCGTGTCTGTTGGCATATTCATGCCCTGTACAGAATGTAAAGGGGCGGCCGAAGGCTTATAAGTCCCATTTTAGTTGGGTTGGTGGCCTCTTTAGGCTTGTAAATAAAGGTTGTGTCATGTGGACACGTGAGAGAGCTTTCGGTCTGTAATGGACCATTTTACCCTTTGTTGTGCCACTGTTCAGAGCTTGTAAAGTCTGTTTGTAATTTGCATTGTCTATGAAGTGTTTTTCGGACATGTTTGCTTGTGGATCCCGATTGAGGCGCT